TTTCGCGATCCGCGCCGTCGTAGATACTCATTTTCCTCCGCGGGGAGCCTCTCTCTTCCAGGCTTGACATCAAGACGACTCGATGATGCTGCCGCTTGCGAAAGCCATCGCGAGCGCGCGTACAATCGCGCTGTCGCGAGGCAGATGAAATCTCGCGTAGATTTGAACGCGATGAGAGGAGCTCCGAGCGCTGGAGCACCGCATTTTACAGCGAGGGCTTCGGGGTGACGGAGAAGCAAGAGGACAGAGGGTGGATCCGTATTGCGGAAAAATCGAAGTCCATCGCGAGACGTCTGTTTACGCGACGAGAGCACGTTGACCCACAAAAGCATCGAAGCGACCTACCGCGCGCGCGATGTCGAGCGAGCTGCGCGAATGCTAATTCGATTAGCTCTCCCGGCTGACTCGGTCCACCCCGAGCGACGTTGGTCGCCCTTGCGTGACGTCGACGTCACCCCGTCCGTTGGTCCGTCCTCCGTATCTCTCTCTCTCTCTCTCTCTCTCTCTCTCTCTCTCTCTCTCTCCCTCTCGATCGTCCCCGAGCGTTCGTCTGTGAAGAGAGCGTAGTAATAGCCAGCGGTACTCCGCGAGAGGCACGTGGGTATCGGCTGCTCGACATCTATATTCATCCACCGCACGTGTATCAATCTTATTACCGTCCGGGAGTCGCGGCGAGGGGATATCAATTCTCTCCTGCCGGCGAATCAATCGTCGTAAAGGAGGCGCGAAATCGATCGCGAGCGCCGAAAAATGCGCGAGCGAGATCTCGCCTGAGAATATTCCCACCTCGTCGTCGTCGTCGTCGTACGTGTGTGTGTATCCGTTATCATTTACCGTAAATCGCGCGGTAACGGCGGCGACTTACTTATGCAAAGACAGCGCTGGAGATCGTCAAGGGTCACGTGGACGGCGGAGTGTTTGCTTGGTATCTGAATCACCCCAACTCCGCCGCAAATCCTGTGGAATTCGACGTTAAATAAACCCGAGAAGCTCAACTCTCTCTCTTTCTCTCTCTCTCTCTCTCTTCTCTCTCGCTCTCGCGTGTCTGTACTTTGTCGCGAGATTGAGGCTGCGGTGTCGGTAGAAGCGAGAAGACGGGGGAAGGGAGTTGCAACGTTTTGGAAATTCCGGGGGAGCCGCTGTTGATCGAGAGAAGCGCGTCTGGAGAAGCAGAAGCGAGAGTGGCGGGAATAAATTCCGCTGCTTAAGTACTGACGTCACGTGACAGCCTCTAAAAGCATCGTCTATAATCGCGATGACTCATATCCCCCTGTGCAACTTTCCATCTCCGCCCGCGATCTCTCTCCCAACCTGCTCAACTGCGTCGCCATCGATTCGATCTTTCCTTACATTCGCCGCAGGGATTGTCTCGCTCCCTCTCTTTCTCCTCTCTCGTTCTTCTCGTTCTTCGAAATCCTCCGACATCCGCCGCCGGTTCGCGGCGTTTTTTCGCTCCGCTCTAAGTTTACACGAGCGGGAATTCGGCTCGGTCCGCTCGGCAAGCCCCGGCCCAGCGCCATCTCAGCGTTCTCGCGGCGAAACAACCCCCATCGATTTTCCACGCGCGAGCGTGCCGCCGCCGCCGCCGCCGTTTTACCAAATAAGGAAAGGACTCGCGCGCCGAGCGAGCAACCCCCGCGACCTGCAACATGGCCGTCCGCCGGATGACAGTTGTTGCACTCGCCTCGTCTGCCCGTTGACCCCGCGACGCACCGGCGTCCCGTTCGACGTGCACCTGTCGGCGTCATGTGTCCGCGCCGTCGGGCCCGATTACGTCGCGATTCCGCGACGGTGAGCGCGTCAAACGTCACGCGGCCAACGCGACCGCTCGCGACCGGCGCCGCGTCCTCGTAAAGGCCCGACAGGACACCCTGACACCGAGAGAGTTCCTCGGCCGGCGAGCCTGTCGCCGCCGCCGCCGCCGCCGCCGCCGTGCCGCGGGGACGTACGTGGCGGTACGAAAACGCAACGACCTCGTCTCTATTTGTGATACTGTAAATATTACTCGAACAGGTGATTTTCTTCGTCATTGTTGTCTATATCTTGCTGTTGTTGTTGTTGTTGCTATACGTCAGCGGAGGGTCCGCGCTTGGAAAAGAGACCCTCTTTAGATGAAATCCGCGCTATCGGCAGCCGACGACAGGAGCAAGGCGGACGGAGGTTGCATTCGAGATCGACGTCGATGAGGAAACCTATCGAGACGGAAAATCGTATCCGATGTGTGAATTTTTCCTCGCGCTCTCGAGCGCTCGTTTCTCAGCGCGGACTCACCTACTGATACCGCGGCCGGTATTTATCGGCGAAAATTCAGTTTGACGTTCGACCGAAATCTTCAGGACGCGATCGGAAAATCCGGAGATGGGGAGGGGGGAGAGGATCGTATCTACTCGACTCGTTGAGTCACGCGATGATTTCGTCGCCGGTCATCGGTCAATCGGTGAGACGCTTCGAGTTCGCAGGGTGTGCGCGAGTTCTTTGAACCCAAATCGCTCGCGAATGTGGCTATTTGGTGTCGAGTCCGCCGCTGGCGGATCGTTTCGGATAAGTCGCACGGGTTTGTTGTTTCAGTGCGGTGGTGCGAAAGCCGTTCGCGAGCGTCAGGCTGTGGGATTCGGGCTCGGCATTTCGCCGTTGGGCGAAGAAACGCAAGTCTTGAGCGGCGACGACGCGCTCGCAAGAAGAGAATCGGCGAGAGCAGCCGAGTCGAAAATTTCGTTCTATCTTCGGCCCGAACTGCCTAACATCTCTAGACTCTGGAGGATTCCACTTTTTAAGTTGGAAAGCTTTCGTTAAAAATTCTCCAATATCAATTTATTTTCTATCGAGACACAAAAGTCCCAGGATTTCATTTCCCAATTTAATTTCTCAAAATCTCCAATTCAACTTTTAAATTTCCATTTAATTTATACAGAAATAGAGATCCAACTGTGCGCCTTGAAGTGGCAAAAAATGGGCAAGTTTAGAAAGATCTCGCGGCTGAAAGCTGAATGTTAAATGACGAGTCAACGGGGAGGTACAAGCTTGAAAGTTATCGAATTAACGCCCAAATTAAATATCGAAGTCCCAAGCGGGATGGGGGAGTTTCGGCATGCGCGCACGTTTTCGCGAGCGACTGGACAGATCGAAAAGCGCGCTCGCGACACGTGCGAGCGCAAATCGTTGCAGCCGAGGGTGCGTCGCGCGGCGGACAGCTTCAAACGTGCGGCGCGCGCGTCGGAAACAGGCGCGGGCCGCCGGAGGAATGTCAAATGCAAATATTTATTTCGCATCGTCGGCTCTCGATGCGTCGTCGGCTATTTACGTTGCGTAGCGTATCGATATTGCCCGCGACCGTTGATAGAACACGCTGCTAATCGACGTCGCGAGTCGCGACCGCTCGGACGTTCTCGTCGGACAATATCCATGTTTTTCTGCAGCATGCCGCGTCGACGCTCTGTTTGGAAACGCGGTCGCGAAACGCAATCGACGCACCAGTGGGAGGACTCTTTTCCGAAAAATTGCCGGAGAAATGAAGTTTCCTCGCTGGGCGTCCGCTGCGTCCCGAGTCGCATGCAAATAAAGCGTTCAAACAGTTTTGAAAGCCGGTGTACTGTGCGCTGCAAAACAGGTTGAATGTTTGGTTTTGGCTCGGTCTCGTGTCCGGAACGCGGCGGATGATTCAGTGAGAGAACCATTCTCGGCAAATTCCCACCAGTTAATTAATTAATATTAATCTGTTCCTAGAAACGAAGTTCTCCCATTGGGCACCCTGCTATGTCTGGGTTCAGAAAGTTGCTCAAACCGTTTTGTAGGATTGCCAAGGTACTCGCCTCGATGAATTTTACGGCGCGAATATCCGCTGGAAAAATGTATCCCTTAAAAGTTGACGAGAGAAGCTAATTTTTTTTTACCGCGCTTTTGGACGCGTGACGAGGCTCCTTGAAAGGAGGAAAAAAATATTGCACCTCTCCGCCATTGAAATCTGTTTTTCGCACTGTCTCGCTGTCGCGATTGACAAGAGAAACACGCGTGAAATGATCCCCCGATCGCCATCGATTTCGTGCTCGTGCAGCTTTCGGCGCTCGGCGTCGGCGGCGAGGAGATGACGAGCGCGAAACGCGCCTTCGGTCCGAAAATAACGCGGCCGTTCGCCGCGCTTCGCCACGGCGGGATCTCGCCGCTCGCAATTTTAGAAGCCGCAAAGTCGATCGTCGCGTTCCCTCGCGCGCGCGCGCGCGCGCGCGCGCGTGCGAGTGACGACACAGAGGGAAGGAGAGGGCAGAAAAGACAAAAGCGCACACAGAGAGAACGGCGAAAAGACAACGCGGTCGTCGAAACTTCCATCGCGACGTTCCCACGTGAATCATCGCCGGTCGGTCCTCTCCTCCGTCGCCGAGCCCGAGCCGCGCGCGCATGGAACCCCTTCGCGGCCGCTTCAGGTGAGGTCACCTCATCATCGGCGCTCGTCCCGTTCGTCGAAACTCATCAACGAGATTCATCCCTCGCCGCGACGAGTTCGCGGAATTCATTTGTCCCGCGGCATCGACACAGTTTCGCGTTCGCGCGCGCGCGCGCGCGTATATCTCCTGGCTGGAGAACGAACGTGTGTGAATATATAGGAAGAGGAAGAGAGCGGAAAGCTCTATTTCAATGTAGTCTCGGACCGATCGCGAGAGTTGTCACTCGCGTCGAGAGCTTGGCGCTCTCGTGAACGTGGAAATTCGGGAGGGAGTTTTCGCGATAAACGACGAGGCCGACGAGCTCTCGTTGCGCTCTTGAGGCTCGACTCCGCGGAGAAAGTGGTTAATTTCTTTTCACCCGCTTGTGGGATATTTCGGCTGAGAAACCGTCTTTAATCTCGCGGCTGAAGAGACCGCGATTAAATGAGGAGCCGATCTCTCTGCGGTGGACGTGGCTTTGAACGCAGCTACGTTGTGATTGCGCGGCTCGTTGGATTAAACGATCGCTCGTATCGGCCGAGCCCGTATTACTCGTGTGAACCGTAATGCTTTGGCTTGCAGATGCCTTTCACGTTGTAAAGTGATCCTCGTCGAAAGGAGCTGTACATTCACGATGGGCAAGCTTTTGAGTCTTTTGGCTCGGGACGAGTCAACCTGTTGCACACCTCAAAAGTACGATGTCTTCTTAGATTTCGAAAGTAAGTGTTGCATTCGTTGTTTTCTCTCCTTGCTCTCCCCGCGAGCTTCGACGGCGGTCACGATGTGCCACTTATTTTACCGCGGTTCTCGCACGCGCTCGCGTCTTCTCCTCCGACTTGCTCCTGAATTAAATATCGCTCGAACCGTATCCTCTGCGAAGTATCGCGTTGATGCGACGAAGAAGCTTGAGTGCCTAACGCCGCCGGAGAAAGCAACAGACACGCGTTCGTATTTTACGACTCCATCTTTAGCCAAGTACCGCTCGATTTATCCTCTTTGAAGTAGCGTTAAATATAAATATTCTCTATGACAAAGAAGCCCGTATCGAACGTCGGAGAAAGCTACGGGGAAGAGAGATTGCTCGAATTAGCGTGACAAGCGAATAACGCCGGCGTTTTCGCCGGGAAGGAAAGAGCCAAATTCGCTCCTTGGGACCGGGAGTTCTCTTTCCTCCGATCGATCGAACCCGATCTTTTCTCACTTTTCAGCACGTGGTAATATTCTTGCGACTTCGTTTCTAATTCAATATCGCTCGGATCGTCCTCCGAAATAGCCTCACTTTTGCAAATCCTACCCCGCGATGCGAGAGCTTGCATCCAGTGTCGGGGGGAACGATCGATAGCGGATGACATATTTTACATTTTTTTTTTTTCTTTTCAACGAGATATCGTTCCAAATACCGTTTGAATTATCGTGTCTCGAGCTTCAGAGAAAGCTCGACGGATCGCAGCGCCGAGTGTGATTCCGTTTGATCGTTGCAACGTGCGTACGAGCGTTCCGCCTGTTTGCAGATGCGCAGCCATCGGATATCGAGCGCGAGACGTTCGAGGCGGTGCAGAGAGTGCTGAAGAATTCCGAGTCCATTCTGGAGGAGATACAGTGCTACAAGGGTGCCGGAAAGGAGATCCGCGAGGCGATCTCGGCGCCGACGGAGGAGTGTCAGCGGAAGGCCTACCTCACCGTGGCGCCGTTGGTCGCGAAGCTCAAGCGATTCTACGAGTTCTCGCTGGAACTAGGTGCGCGTCTTACGCAGCTCATCAAGCACTCGCGTATCGAGCACCGATACGCGAGCGCGTCGTGCCGCTCCTATAAATAACAACGCTTCCCCTTCGGCCACTCGCCGGCTCTCGAGAAAATTCGATGCGGCCGCGAGTATCGGCGGGACTTGAACGCGCGCCCGCAAAATGCCCTCAGCCGCGCGCGCGCGAGCTTTTAATTATACCGAGTGTCGGCGGCTTGTCGAAACACTGCTGCTTCGCGGAAAGGCCCGCATGCATTGTTCCCGACGGCGGCGACGCGTGACGCTTCGATGATCGATCGTTGTCCTTTGCTCGCGAATATTATTTGCCATCAATATCAACTATCCTATAATTGTCACAATTTAAATCGACGCGTTTAATTTGCCGAGCGCTCTTCTGCCGCGGTGCATGTGTGCAACCATATTAGTATTAATTAACTCGGACGTGAACGCCTCGCGTTCACAATTATCGCGAATCGTCGCCGATGCACTTTTCGCGCGAAACTCCCCCCCCCTCTCTCTCTCTCTCTCTCTTTCCTTGTCGACGCCTGGCAACGATCACGACCGTTTTGTTTGTTTGTTTGTTTCCGCGCGCGCAGAAAGGGTCGTGCCGAAAATTCTGGGGCAACTGTGCTCGGGCAACCTCTCGCCGACGCAACATCTGGAGACGCAGCAGGCGCTGGTGAAGCAATTGGCGGAGATCCTGGAATTCGTGCTGAAGTTCGACGAGTTCAAGATGAAAACGCCGGCGATACAGAACGACTTCAGTTATTATCGGCGGACGCTGACGAGGGCGTCGCTCGCGCGGCAGGACAACGCCGAGAAGGACCTGATCGTCGGCAACGAGCTCGCCAACCGAATGTCCTTGTTCTACGCCCACGCGACACCCATGCTTCGGGTTCTGAGTCACGCGACCATTACCTTCTTGATGGATGTAAGTGCTATCGCCTCTCCGCATTGTTCCCGCGCGTTCGCGCGACCTCTTGTCCCGTAGCCGAGAGCCGAGACAATTATCGATCCGGCCAGATGCGAGCTGATGGCAATTAGGCGAAATTCTCTGCGGTAATCCAGGCCTCCTCGGTGTGTGCCCCTTAATTGACGTATGCCGACGCCGCCTCCGGAGGCGAAAGGCAACGCTCTGTTTCGCGTCGGATTATGCGAGACGTTGCAGTCGTTATTCGCTTCGTTGGGATCGAGAGCTCGGGTATGCAATGTGTACACATATATATGTCGCGATACATTTTATGTATCTTCTTGAAAGATCGCGAGAGCACGTGAAGAGCTCGGCTTCGAGGGAAAACCGACGTAAATGATTCCCCCGGTACGTTGGGAGAAAACTAAGCGAACGATGAAAAGTATTTACGCGGTGTGTACGAACGGCCTGTCCGCTTATCAAGTCGCTTGAATCGCTAAATTGTTCTCTTCAAGCAGAAGAAGCGACTGCTTTTTCGCGAAAAGCTGCGCCTCCAGCGAGATGTGTGTGTTTTCTCGTCTGGAAAAAAAAGCACGATCCTGTCACTGCAATAACATGTGCGAGCAGATATGTCATTAGTATCCGCTGAATAAACATTCTTCACTTCTTGAATATTTTTCCTGTCGGAGTAGTTACGACATTATCGTGAGTCGCGCGCGCGGGAAGCTTCGGGCGACACAATCGCAGCTCGAGACGCGATCGCGCAGTCGCGATCGCAGACGTCGCCTGTTTCTTTTTCTTCGCTCGGTGAAATAACTCCGGCAAAAAAGAAACCTATGCATCGATTATTCCGGCGCGGGGATGTTTTTCAACGGCGCAATGAATCATCGCCGCTCTCGCCGGCGGATCGATCGCCGGCGATGACAAATAACCGCGTTGCGGGATCGACACGAGGCATAATGGCGGGCGGGCGAGCCGGCGGAGAAAAGAAATTTGTCGACGGGAATAATGGATCTGCTGAAGCGGAAAATTGACAGGTATCCTGTGCTCCGCGATTTAAATTGTCACAGGCTGTATGCGAGCCGCGCATCGATCGGACGAGCAGAAATAAGTCCGCTGAAGAGTCCGACGTGTACACGCAGGCCGCTTTAATTAAAATCGATGACGAAATAATCCGCCGCCGCTGCGAGATATCGGAGCGGCGCTCGAGCTCGGTCGATTTGCCGTGCGGAAATACACGTGTCATACGCTGGCGCGAAGCTACGCCATCAACCGCGGCACTCATCGGGGGGAGGACAAAGGACTCGGGCGATTGGGAAAAATAGATTTCGAGAATAGACGAGGTCGTCCGCGTTTTTCCGCGACAACTGATCGATTGTTCGTAATATCGAGTTTCTCTCTCTCTCTCTCTCTCTCTCTCTCTCTCTCTCTCTCTCTCTTTCCAGAACGAGGATATCGCACGGGAGAACATCACGGAAACGCTCGGCACGATGGCGAAGGTGTGTCTTCGAATGTTGGAAAATCCGTAAGTGCTCCGAGAAGAACTCCGCGTCGAGAACGCGAATTTCTCGCCGTGGCTAATTCGGGAAATATCTTTCCGCAGGAATCTGTTGGCGCAATTCCAACGAGAGGAGACCCAGCTCTTTGTTTTAAGGGTTATGGTGGGTCTGGTGATCCTCTACGATCACGTACATCCCCAAGGTGCCTTCGTAAAGGGTTCGAACGTGGATGTGAGTACCGGAAGAAGTACCCCCGCCCCCCTCCCCTCCTAGTCGTCCGCTCGTGTTCTCTCGTGACGATTTGCGCGATTTTGACAGGTGAAAGGCTGTGTGAAGCTGCTGAAGGACCAACCGCCTTGCAAGAGCGAGGGCCTGCTGAACGCCCTGCGCTACACCACGAAGCACTTGAACGAGGAGAACACGCCAAAGAACATCAAGAACCTGCTGGCCGCATGATTACCGAAGCAGCGCGGCTGCTGCATCAGGAGCTGAGGGACAGTCGGCCGTAATCGTTCGCGGACACTTCTCGAAACGGTATCGTCATTCTCACCGCACGGGCGCAGAGCAGGCCTCGAGAGGATGCCCCGGCGCCACGCGAAACGTGGGTCGCGCGCGTCCGGGTTGTTGAAACGCGGCGCAACCAGCTTGCGTGCGCGTCCTCCACGTCGTCGTCGCAACCTGCCCGATAACTGCCGAGAACTCAGCGAAGTCTCCGAAATCAGCGATCGTCACAAGCGACGAGTGTCTCACGACAAGATAGTACGAGGGCAGTCTGAAAAGTTCTCGGCCTAACAATGAAAGAAAATTTTTTTTGCCGTGAAATATGTCTTATTTTTCAATATAATCTACTGAAACTTCAATACATTTATTCCAACGTCTTTCCAATAATTCAATACCATCATTAAAGCGTGATTCCGGAAGGTTCTTTTCGCTCTGGTGTATAGTGGTGGATTCATCAACAGTTATGAAACGACGCTTGAAATCCATTTTATTTTGCTTAAAACGATTAAAATGTGCCAAACACGCTTGAGAAATACGCATTCGAATACGCGTTTTTGGTCAATTGTCAGCAAATGCGGCAGCCATCTTGCACAAAGCTTTTTCAATTGGTGCTACTGCTCGAATGACTTGACAGATCGAATAAAATTTTACATGGGTTTATATCAGGGATGCCACTTTCCAATGCAATTATAGTTTGACAGTTTCTAATGCCCCATGTATGTGTCAGGTCGAGAACTTTTCAGACTGCCTACATAGTAATAATAACAACAATAACAGTAACAACAATAACGATGACGATTATCGTCACGAACGTAACGGTCGCGTACAGCCAAGCGTCCGGTCGTTGCGTCCTCCTCTTTTATTTTCCTACGATCATCCGAGATCACGTACGTCGATTCTTATCGTCGTCGGCGGCACGCTTCGTGCTTTGCGTTTTCGGCGCTCGACGAGTCGACGCGAGCGTCATCCGATCTTCGTTGCTCATCGAGCCGACGGATCAATGATACTCGTGTCGATCGCTGGATTTCGGAAAACGCCTATCGGGATTACGCGAGACGTCGTCATCGACCAAGTAGAGAAGAGCGGACGAGCGCGTCGCGACCGAATTTCCGGGTGTCTTCTTCGTCCCCCCCTTTTCTGTCCCTTCTCAGCACCGAGCTCTTTCGTTCACGAGGCAGTCGTTCGAACCGGAGCGAGTCGTCATTAGTTCGCGGAATTTCCATCGCTCTTCACGGCACCAGTGAAGAGCCGCACGAAAGTAATCGCGCGACAAGTTCTTACGGCCAAGGATACGTTCAAAAGTTGCACGACGGTGTGTTGCCCGCCCCCATTCCACCCTCGTCGTCTCTGCCCCCCCTCCCTGCCACTTCCACGCAGATGCAGCGTTCCAACAGCCGCGGTAGTTTTATCGAGCCATAATTTCCAACTCGGACAGGTCGAGAAGTTAATTACGGCATATCATATATAGTGTATTTAGGGTAACTCGAATTGTGTGTGGACCTTTGGGGGTGTTTTGGACGGAGGGAAAGAGTAGAGAGAGGGAAGGAGAGAGAGAGAGGGAGGGAGAGAGAGAGAGAGAGAGAGAGAGAGAGAGAGAGAGAGAGAGAGAGAGAGAGAGAGAGAGAGAGAGAGAGAGAGAGAGAGAGAGAGAGAGAGAGAGAGAGAGAGAGAGAGAGAGAGAGAGAGAGCTTTAACCACGTTATGGATATTATGGAGATCTTTAGCTCTTGTTTACTTTGTTGAATAGCGGGCGAGAGATGGAGATTATGAGCGGATCGTGAGACGGCGACGAGGTGCGTGTGTGTGCGTGTGCGTATGTGCGTGTATATGTGTATGTGTGAATCGCGGAGTCGAATATATACTGCCGGATCGTCGGGTATGATCGATACAACTGAATAGCACCGTGTCGCGCGACATTCGCATATATCTGCGTGTGCGTATCTGGGGAGTATTCGGATACCATCACGAAGACCGTCGATATCAGCATTGTTGCACGGGATCTGGCTTGGTTGCCGATCCGCGGAAATTCTTACGTATTTACCCCACCCTCGACGAGCAAACGAACCAAAGACGTTTCTTTTTAGCAGTAGAACATGACGCTTTGAACGCGGTCGCGAGAGGAGACGACGAGCCTTCGCCGTGAATCTTGGAGAACCGCGTCTCGTACGGTCTTCTTTATTTTCACTGTCATCATCGCCACCATTATTATTAATGTTCTCGTTACGAATTACCCTACCGATGAATTACCCTGCGAGTTCCACTCGCGGTGACCAACGAACGCCGCGATATTGCGGCGCGACGCGTTAAAACACGAGAACTCACATGCGTAAAAGGCGCGGTGATCCCTCATCGTGCGGCACTTTGTTGCATATTCGCCTCTTGACGGCTACCCCCACACGCACAAAAGTGATCTTCTCTTGTGTTAGGGATTTTCTCGCGAATTTCTATTGTTTTCGTTCGCAACAGCGGAGACGTCTGAGAGTAATGTATATTTATTGTAAGACTAAAATATTATTTTATTCTTCGCGCACGTAGGATTTTTTCGATTAGCTGCACGAATTGACTCCCGCGTTTCCGACGTTTTCGCAGACTGTAAAAGATCACTTGTTATTCCATTTCTCCGTTCATCGTTTCCGAAGCGAAAATTCCGCGTGGGATCTGCCGACTAAGGTAGACCAAGATTTTTAAGACGCTGCAGACATCGCACACTTTTGTCGTCACGCCGAGCGAATTTTCGCGATCGAGTCACGGATATTCGAAATGTTGCTCCTTTCCCTTTGTGCGACGTAATTGTCAGGGAGAACTCGCGGGAGTTCTCAGGGAGACGAAAGGAAAGAGAGGAAGAGGGAGCGTTGATCCTGGCGCGACGTTTCCCCGCGGGTTTTAACGATTAACACCCTTCGAAGACTGTTTTGCCGATCATAATCTGGAGTCTGCGTAAGTATTATTACGTACGCGTAATCGAGAGGATCACACGTTTAGATAAGATTCTACTGCGAAGAGCGTTCGCCACTAACGAATCTCAGACACACTCACGATTGTATATATATATAGATTGTTATGACACACACTATTGATATTCGCAGGTATATTGTACTATCGTATCGGCACTCAGATCGACACAGGTGTGCCCCCGAAATTATTGCCTTGGAAATTTTTAAGGGAGAAAGAGAAACGACGGACGCGGCATTCGGTTATCGTCGCGTGCCGAAACTCGATGTATACGTCATTATTTTCTACAACCCAACCGTCTCAAATGTGTGACACGAGAAATATTATTATTATTATTATTATTATTATTATTATTATTATTATTGCACGTATTACGATTGTATATTTGCGATTGAATTGAATTGAATTAAAGTCCCCTAACTAAACCGAGGCCCGATCGTTTATTTCCTTCAACGGTCTCACTCTATTTCCTCACCGGAAATGAGCATGCGGCAATTATCGGTCACATCAGAAATTTCCTTTTCGTTATTTCATAAGAGCATTATTAATAAACCGCTGGACAAACAGGATGTGGTTACACGTGCATATTTGCCACCACAAAAAAGTACCTCGCAACACGAACTACAGTCGTTGAAATAATCGCTGCTAAGATAGAACGCTGACGAAAAATTCCGGACAACGAGACGGCGATTATTTAATCGGCGAATAATTTATCTCCAAATTCCAACGGGATCTCTTGATTCAATGAATGACTCGCCATGGAGATTTTTCTGTAAGAACTTGAAGCATTGTTCTCGAATTATGTTGTTTTTTTAATTTCCTCAGAGGAGAAGGTCTTGACTCGTACGATTTACTTTGAGCACAACAAAATATGCCACGAGTCATCCTGCGACGACGAAGCGTAAACTCGGGCGTTTCATGAACACGAACAAGTTATCGCTCGAGTTGCGTGAACGTAACTTGACGACAGGACAATTGCATCTTCACTACGAGAATTATTTTACTAACTGTAAGCAAAATGGCGCGTATTCTCGATATCGTCCGTCGATATCGGAGTCTCTTCTACCGGCGGTCAACGCGAGCGAGGCTCAGTTTTACTAGCAGCTGTTGCTGAGAGAGCAACCCTCGTGACTCCCATAGCAGGTGGCGCACGAAAGCCTGAAGGGCCGGTATTACGCGCCGCCACGGCGGTTATTAAGGCGCAATTCTTTAAATATTGATTGAAAGTGGGTTGGAGTGGTGGGTGGCGCTCGGGGGTGGCTGGAGGGATGGAAGTGGAAGCCGGAGGCCGGTCGAACTGGCGAGATGAGATGAGAAGGTTGACCGGGAGGAGGGGAGGACCATCTATTATATATGATGGGCGCGGTCGCTCTCTATGGATTTTTTTTTCTTTTCGTCCCATTATGAATGCAAGCCACCACCAAGATAAATTTTTAATTATCGCTCCGCTCCGAGTTCCCGATCGAACAGCTTCCGCGTTCCACGCGGACGCCGGACGGCTCGCGTCGAAAGCGCGCGCACGAGAGCGAGCGAATTGACGAGTCGCACTTTTTCTTTTTCCATCGTTCTCAGTCGAATGTTTTTTTAGACAGTTTTAGACATTCGTCGCTCGCGATTCCACGAGCGACAATACGGTAACGATTACATCGTGAGAGAGAGAGAGAGAGAGAGAGAGAGAGAGAGAGAGAGAGAGAGAGAGAGAGAGAGAGAGAGAGAGACACCGACGTACGTTCGAGGTGCAACGAGCTCTCCAGCATTTCCATAATGCGCAGATTTGTATCAAAGACACGTGCGGCTTGTGTCACGACACGATCTCGCTTCAACTGGACCGATTTCCCCGGAGACGCGAGATTAAGACGCGGAGTCGCGGACGTTTATGGAAGAGCAGAGTCGCGAGCTGCCGCGCGGACAATCAACGGGCGCGTCGTCCGCCTCCTCCAGAGAGATCCTCCGACGACCGAATGTTTTCGGACACGAAAGTCGCAGCCGCATGTCGTCGAAAAATTCCCGGTGCTGCTATTATTACTTCTTCATTCGTGCGTCGTGCGCGATCCAGCTCAAAATCGCTCGCGCACGTCGGGGCCGTTTCCTGAGGCCGCTTCCCCGAGCGCTTCCTCAAAAGCCCCTCGAACCTTCTCAATTCCGCACAAACTCTCTCGTACTATCTCAAATTCTCTCAATTCTACCAGCCCCGCCGCGTCCCTCGCCGCCCGGCTCGCGCACGACTCCGCTCTGTTCGGCGACCCTCTTTTCCCCGGACCGGCACGTTGCGGAGCGACAGAGACGCGAACACAGGCACCCCTATGGATTTTTTTTCCGCACCGCGAGAACACCCGCTCTTCGCGCGCGCCGTTCTCCATCCCTCATCTCTTTCTCTCTCT